AGTATACACATAAGCCTTAAACCCTAGACTAAACCTAAAACCCCAAAAAACCCTTAACACTAAAACAATTAAACCTTTAAAACCCTAAACACTAAAAACTCTAAACACTAAACCATAAAAAACTTAAGCCTATGCCTAAATCTTAAACCTTTAACACTAAACCCTAAAAACCCTAAATACTAAATATTTTAAAACCCCTAAACCCTAATAAACCTAAACCATATCCCTAAATCTTAAACCTTAATCCTTAAATTATAAACACTAAACCTTAAATTCTAAAAATACAAAACCATAAACCCTAAAAACCCTAAACCCTATCCGTAACTAAATACTAAATCATAAACACTAAACCATAAAAACCTAAACTTTATACATAAACTCTAAAACCTAAACACTAAACTCAAAAAACCCTAAACACTAAATACTTTAATCCCTAAACCCTAAAAACCCTAAACACTAAATACTTTAACCCCTAAACCCTAAAAACCCTAAAACATATCCCTAAATCTTAAAGATTAAACCCTTAAACATAAGTATTAAACCCTAAAATCCCTAAACACTAAATACACTAAACGCGAAACCCTAAAAACCATATACCCTATCCTTAAACCCTAAACCCTAAACCTTAAGCATTAAACCCTAAAAATCTTAAACACTAAAAGCTCTAAACCCTAAATTATAATAAACATAAACCCTAACTACCAAAAATGTTAAACAATAAACCTTAAAAACCTTAAACACTAAATTCTGAACCATAAACCCTAAACTGTAATCCCTAAACATAAATAACAAACCCTAAACCCTCCAAATTTATTGCATACTAAATGCGTATTTAATATATATTTTATGCATATTTTTATAAGTATTCACTGCAATTTTTGCATATTTACTACATTTTTATTGCATTTTTACTATGTATTTAGTGTGTGTGTGCTGTGTTTCTACTGCATCTTAGTATAATTTAATTTTGATGGTAATATTGAAGTTATAAATTGGTCTTTGTTTCTTATTTGTTGTGTATCCACCACATTTAAAAAAATTCTATAATTTCCATTAGTAAATACTTTTATAAATTTTTTTATTTTACATATTATTCAAGTTCTATTTTACAGAAAAATTAATCAAAGACTAAGTACAACCTATATACAAAAAAATAATAAAAGAAAACAAAAACCTATGTACAATTGTACAAGTTCAATTTATAGAACTTATAAAAATTACATTACAACGACTATGTATATGATGCGTATCTTCTGCGTATCTGCGGCGTATAAAATAAAATTTTCTTGAATTTTCATTAATAAACAATTTTACAATTTTTTTTTTATTTTACATATTATATAACTTTTATTTTATAAAAAATTAATAAAAGACTAAGTAAAACCTATGTAAACATAGTAAAAAAAGAAAACAAAAAATTATGTACATCTATAATTCTATTTTACAAAACATGTAAAAACTATATTACAATAGTTGCATAATTTACATATTGCACAATGATTTTACAGACCAAGCAAAACCCCTTGTACATAAAAAGATCATTTTAATGATGAACTAAATAATGTGTGTACGAATTCCACACTATATTTTGACATTTCTTCTTTCCAATTTTTACTTTCAACCTAGTTGGTGTTGCCTTAAAGAACATCTTTTTTCATGTATTTCCAAATAAATATTCCACAATCGTTATTGTTAGTCTAAGTTGGCACACCATGGATAGGATAGACCTTCCATAATCTTATATCACTATCAAAAACTCTCTTTATGTCATCATGTAAGTTTTTAATCTAAATAACACAACGAATATTTATTAGTTAAATAGTAACTTTTGAAATATTTAACACTTGCTCTCACACTTACAATCTTTAGAAGAATTTTCTTATGCTGGGGGTTGGGTAAAGAATAATAAAATTTCCACTTCTCTTCCTTCAGCATCCCAACAAAAAGGGTCCAGTGCCCACTGTGAATGATTGCTTGAAGTAGAAGGTTGCATGAGTAAACAACAATATTGGTGATATGTTTGATATGCAAAGTTGCAGCTAGGTCAAATTGCTTGTAATTCTACAAGAAGTGAATAAAGACATGGAAAATGAAATAGCTAAAAATATTATATAGAAATTATTTATTATATGTATACCAACCCAATGCATTGGCGAGACGTATAAAAAGTTGTGGTACTTATGAGGGCTAAGTTTATTCTTCTCATGTAAGAATAGAGAGAAGGCATATAAATGATTAATTTTAAGGTATTTATCTAATATTATTTCATCAATGTCAACTCTGGTAATTAAGATATGAAAATACGCATGAAATATATTGAAAAATATATAAAATATGCATTAAAAAAGTAGTAAATATCAAGTAAATAAGTTGTAAAAATGCAAAAAAAAAAAAAAGTAAATACGCAAAAAAAAAGTAACAAAAACAGAGTAAATAATATAGTCTTACATATTTAACATGCTTATTATTAAACTTTTTAAAGCATTCATCCATAAATAGCTACTTCTCATTACTCAACATCACCATACCCTTGTATTATATTATTATACTTGCAGGCTTAGGCAGTATTTGAACATCTTAAATGTTGATTAGTTCAGCTGGGGTAGTAGTCCCTATTTTCTACTTCGTCCCGTCCCTCCTTTTTAATATTACCATTTCCTCTTTTGGCTCATTAGGAACATTCTATTTGTTGATGATAGTAAGAACAATTAGTTCATTTGGGTCTTCCTACTTGATTTGGACTAAAGCAAGTATCCTTTCAATTGGGATGGGCTGGTAGCAGGATGGAGAGGACGGAGCAAGCTATTTCTCAGGATATATTTTGCATCGAGAAATATGGTGGTTTTGAGCTTGTCATCAATTGATTTTACTCTTTCTACTAGATGCTCAAACCTCTTATTCAGCATACCTTCAATTTTATGGAAAAACTTTATGCATGTATCCTAGATTGATTTCATCATTTTCTTTGGGAGAACAATCAATGCCTAAGCTGTAGTTGGAAAGTATACTTGCTGAGGATATTTGTGTGTGTGTGTGTGGGGGGTGGGGGGCGGCGCTTATTGGTGATGGGGATTAGATAGGGAGAACAAGGTCTGTGAGTGGGGAATTCTAGTCTGCCTACTGGGAAGGGCATTTCCTGTGGGGAAAGAGGAAGGTTGTGTGATGGATAGTTTGGGATGCCCAGCATATGACTAACTCCTTAGAGGGCATAAAAATTTTGTAAATAATTTATTTGTTAGCAAATCCCCATTCTTCTTAAAGTTATTAATTAAAATTTGCTGCATAACAAATCTACATATTTATCTTTCTTTCCTTTAAATTAACAAATAAATTAGAGGCCTTCATATAATTATATATAATATTATCGCCCCATCGAAGGAAATGGGGCCTTTGGACATGGAACTTAGGGGCATCAATTGAATCGTGCTTCAAGGACTAAATATGCATAAGATCAAATAAATTTTTAACAAATAGATAAGTAAAAGAAAATATAAATTATAATGATAATCTTAGCACTCACAAGTAGTAGAGGCACAAAACCTAACTTGTGTATTGAAATCTTCTTGAAAACTTTATTAAACTCTTAAACTAAAAATTTCTTAATTGACCCCACCGACTTAATAAATAAAAATTTATCTACATTATTTGATATTGAATGGAGCCTCCTAGGGGTTTGAAGTTATTAAGTTAGAAAAATAAATTTAAACACAAATACATAATACATATTTTTGTAATAAATATTTTTGACTTCAACTCCAACATTTCACCCTTTATTTCCTTTGATGAGACTCCAACAGGTGCATGGCTAAGTTAGGAGACTCTATTTTACTAACCAGTAATAAGGGCCACTTTATAAGCTATAAATGGTATAACATGATCATTTATTATAAAACATTGTATTGGAATATCCCACAGTCTAAGGAGCTCGTAGATCAATGGGACGTTCTGCTTGAGAGCAGGGAGTTTCAGAAATTGGTAGATGTTAAATCTAGTCAAGGTTTTCTCCACATCAAGGTGTATTTTCTCCACAAAAGAATCACAGATTATTTGGAAGGTTGATACATAGCATCGAAAATTAAGAGGTCAAACATAGAGCTAAAAAATGAAAGATATAAATACATAAGATAAGCAAAAAATACGTTGAAGATAGACAAAAATACTCAGAAAATATGTAGAAGATACATATAAAATATGCAATAAATATGAAAAAAAATTCTCAACAAATATGTTGAAAATACGCAGAAAATACCTAGAACCCTAACCAAGAATAACAATCATGTAGTTATAAAGAAGAAGACAAATCCTAAACCCTAAAAAGAGTTGAAAAGGAACAAGCTAAACATAAAAATTTGTTAAGTACGCAATAAAAAACCCATAACTAAAAAAGCAATTCATATGCAGAAAATACCAGAACCCTAACTAGCAGCAACCAACATGAATTTTGAAGGAAGACAAATCTTAAACCTTAAAAAGAGTCGAAAATGAGCATGCTAAACATAGAAATTTATTAAGTATGCAATAAAAATGTAGTTCATACGCAAAAAATATACAGTTATTACGCTGCTCATACACAACTATCATGACAAGCAAATAATGGACTAACTTTTTTTGAAGGTGAAGCCATTTGCACAGGCGAAAACTGATCGAATGCTGAAAGTTTGATGTTAAGCAATGCATGCCGAAGTTGCAAGGTGAACAACAAATGACAAAGAAGAAAACTGAATAGGCGTTTGAAAAGTGAAAAATTTCTGACATTTTCACTTTTTTACATAGACTCTGGTGCGGGTTGGTTGGGCTAACAAAATATGAAAAATTCGGGTCAATCGGGCTGACAAGACAGCTACAACTTCTCTTCCTCGACGCGGGCTATCCACACATCACTATTTTATGGATGTTCAGAAGTAAAGCTACATTCAGAGCTCTGCACAGAATAATTTTTTCTTGAATTGAGTCTTGCATGTATATTGTGTGTGCCCTCTTCCCCTAATTTATAAAAAAAAAAAAAAAATCATGACGGAACGGAACGGAAAGTCAACCATTCACTGGTGCAACGTATAGAACATTTGCTTTACCCTTCTACAACGCGGGTATTCTTCAACACTTTTTTTTGGCTCCTAATTGAATTTAACCAAACTTTAGATCCACTTCTCCAAAATCCGATAGAGAAAGACGAGTACACCAACCAGCGACAAGGATATACTCTATGACGCGATAGGTAAGCAAGCATCGATCTCTTTCTTTCTTGAGCGCCTTCACTCTGTTTGTGTTCAAGATATAGCATCTGCAGGTTTTTTCTGTGTTTTACTCATGCGATCCTGGACATTAGCTGCATTTATCTGCTCTGAATTGCAGCTAAGAACTACTTTGGCCTGAGTTTATGATGGATTTCTGCTAGTTTGTGGAGAGCATCATCTAGATCTCTACAAGTTCTTCCCTAGCTATGCTTATTTGACGAAGTTTTAGCGCAAGCTTGGAATTCTCGAAAGCATCCATTTTTTTTCTCTAATGTGTCTTTGGAGAGTGTTAAAATGGAGCTGTTATCTGGTAATTTTGCATATTTTGAAATCTATTAAGTTCTACGTGTTTTCTTGCTAACATTCTTTTTTTAGCATGCCCTCGCTGTAAATGAGCTATTATGGGAGATGTTTTAGATTAGTTAATGGAAATAGTGGGGTAGTTGGTTTCTCATGGATTTTTGAGGTTTGGGAATATAGAGCTGTTTTTATTGGATGTTAGTATCGAATAGTCCCTCTTATTACACTCTTTCGCAAATAAATGAGGGAGTATTTATTAATCCATCGTTCACAGGATTTAACAGATTTTAGGAATTATTTCCTCCCACAAATTTTAAATTTTGATAAAAATAGCCAAACATGTCAGATATAGCAAGATTTAACAATTGTCATGTCAATCAATTTTTAGTATTTAATTCTTTTTAAATTAAATGCTATGCTTTGCTTTTTCACTTTTTGGTGTTTGGTTGGGTGAAAAGATAATCGAAAGTATAGTAAATGCAGTGTATTTCATTCCAGTTCAATTTTGGGGTAAAGCCTTCCACCCCAATTTTGGGCGAGAACGCTTTACACAGCTTGCTCCTTATTTGAGCACTACTGTCGGTGATCTCCGCTGTCGTCGCCGTTGCCTCTTGCCGTGCACTACCTGTAGCAGTTTGCCGCCGCCCGCCGCCAGCCGCTTGCTATCGCCCGTCGACTATCGACGCTGACTGTTACCATTTAGGACCTTACTCTACATTCATCACTTTCAACTAAAAAAAAAAAAATCATTCGCCTGCATTTACTTTACATTCATCCAAACAATTTCAAAGTATTTCTTTTGCACTACATTCCTTTGACACTGCATTCATTTTTCAGCCAACCAAACAGGCCCTAAGATTTTCGCATTTGTTTTCCCCCCTCTAAAGGAAGTCCCCTCTAGAGGAGTGATTTCTGGGGCAATAGAGTTTGAATTTGAGTGTCGTTCTGGCGGTGGTTAGTTGCCGGTCCTTTGTGGCCGACGGATGCTCAAGTTAGAAAGATTATTCTCTCTTATCAAGATTTTTTTTTTTTCTTATTTCTAGTATGTTGATTCATGTTTTTGTCTTAGGGAGGATAATTATTATTTTACTTGCATTTTTTTGGGACCATTGGGATATTGACCAATCTTTTAGGTTGTTTTTTAAAATTTGGCATCCCCATTACCCCGAGAGGATCAAGAATATAATGGTTGAGTTCCAAATTCAATATGAGAATTGCATATTATAGGTAAATAAAGGGAAGTTTTTTGAAGGAGATAACAACTTTTCTATTGTTATGTTATTGTCCATTGTTTGCACCATAATTTTCGATATTTGCTTTTTCTTTTTAAGTATTGATTCCTCTCTCTTTTTTTATAAAGAGAGGATTAATTTTTTTACTTTGCTTATCTTTCAGCTCTTGTGTTTTAAGTTCTTTTTTTATGTTTATAAAATACTTCATGCAAATCTTCCCAAAAAAATAGGATAAAGCAAATTAGAGTAATTGAGGAGAGAGAAGATCTGAAGAGAGAGAAGGTTTGAGGAGGGTTTTTCGGACCCTTAGAATTTGAGTTTGATTTTTGTGGGTTTTTAGTGGTAAGGCCGATTTGGCGATAAGGCCGCCGATCCTTTGTGGCTGGCACAAGATCGGGGCTTGGTGGTTCTTCTGGGTTAAGGGTTGTGTTGCAACTTAGTTTTCATAACTATGTTTTTCATGTCATGTATGTTTTTTATGATTCTAAATATTATTGTCTTGATTAATGTTTCTCCTGACATATATTGGATATATTTCTTTTATTAATTGTGTATATTAATATTTCAAAGAAATCATACTTCAGATTGTTAAAGACTTCAAATCAGATAGGGTTCATTGTAAATGGAGTATGTATTTTTCATTTTTATTGAGTCTGAGAGTGTGATTGTAATTGAGTAACCGTGCACACACACTGGGGGAATGCTAAAATTTTTTTAATTTTTTTTAAAACTAATAGTAATGTAAGATTTATATTCGTACATGACGATTTGTTCAGTTATTTCCTCCAACAAGAAGTTACGAAGCAGCGAAAAAAAATTTTGTCAGTACTGTTCGTACTGTATAAAGAGACCTTCGTACATACGACGTCCAGAGTACGAAATAAATATGCACAAGTTCGTCCTGACGATTATCAAAATTTTTCTGAACTCACGAAGTGCCCTTCTTACAGACAATGTCCAGAGTACGAAAAGATTGAGTCTCTTTTCGTCTCGACATTCCTGAAATTTTTAATTTAAATATAAAAATCTTCAATTTTTAATTTTAATTTATATTTAATACAAATTTATTATATATATAAATATATAAATTTAATATAAATAATTGTTTTATGTTATATATTTAAACATAATTTACATATAAATTTTACATTATAAAACTATATTTATAAACTCATACAATATTATTTTTAAGATTTTTAATTTTTTCTATCATTAATTTCACAGGTTAAAAAAAGTTTAGAACTTTAAAAATTATAAAATAAGTTATTTTGTTTGAATAATTATAGAATTTAGTAATTAAGATAATTTAAGAAGTTTAAAAATTATTATGATTGATTTATTTGGAATATTATACAAGAAATTTTCATTCAACAATATTCTCATTCAAATAAGTCTGATGATACACATGTTAAAGTTAAAAATAAAAAAACTACTAGTTGTTTAGTCCCACTTCACATCGGAGTTTTAATGTTAAGTGTTATTTATATACTTCAAACATATGTTAACAAGTTTACGTGGTATTTAGAATCATATGAGCAAGACTTATTTATCAATGCTTTAAAACGCAGATTCGGACTGGGACCGGTCCGGCCGGTTTCAACGGTGAACCGGCTTAAAGCGGGTTTCGGTTCAACCTAAGAACCGAGTCCGCACAAACCGAGGCTGGTTTTGTCAAGACCGCTGGTTCACCGGTGAACCGGCACGGTTTCTCTTTGACCGACCGGTTCAACTTTTGTATTTTTAATATTTAAATTTAAATAACTTATTTTTAAATATTTAAAAAATATTGAAATTTATTTCAAATTTGAAAAGCTTATCTTAAATTAAAAATTCAAAAAGCATTTCATGTCAATTTTTACATGATGTACTACTTCTCTTCAGCTAAATAAATAATATAAGTAAAAAGCATTACCAAGAGGAAGTCTCTCAAAGTGGTGTGAGACAAAAAATTTAAAACTCTTATGTTTTCTTCTTAAACTTTTAAGTTTACAACAATACTACAACATTTTAAAATAGATTTTAAATAATCTTTTTATTGATGAAATAAATTTATTTTTAAATAATAAATTAAAATAAATTATAATTCTTTATTTATTTTTTTATGTACTATAAATATTATTAATTATTTTGTATTTAAAATAAATGATTTAATTTAACCTCAATAATTTATAAAATGTAAAAATAAAATATGATCTAAGATATAAATTATATATAAATATATAATATAAATTAAAAATTATTTATATTAAACTTATTAATTCATTTGTAAGTTAATTTTTTGTTAAATTTAAATTAAATTTAAAGATTGTATATGTTTAAATTTAAAATTATATAAGATATTAGTAATGTGTGAATTCAATTTATTATTTAATAAAAAAAATTATATTATTATATGACTTTTATATCATCTAAATTTTATTTATTACGTCATCCGGTTCGACCTCGGTTCGACAGGTTGAACCGTGAACCGCTCTCTCTACTGGTTCGTTGGCCGGTTCGATTTTCATAACCTTATTATTTATATTTAATTTGTGAGTAAGATTATTTCTATTTAATTTAATATATAATACAATTAAATTTTTGGAATTATATTGTTAAATAAAATATATGATATTTAAATTAATTTAATATTTAATTAAACATTTTATATTAAATTAAAATATTTAAATATATTATTTGTTGAACTGGCCGGTTCTTAAGAAACGGGTATGGTTCAACGGTCGGCCGGTTGAACCAGCGGTTCAAATCGGTTTTGACCGATTCGTTGCTAGATTGTTTCTTCAGGAGGACCGAACTGGTCGAACCGGCCTATTCAGTTTTCAAAATAATGGGGTGGAGTATTGGCTTGGAGATGCAGATCATGCAATATTACTTTCTCTTTGGAGTATCTGATCAGAAGGCTGCTAGGAAATACTTGAGTTCGCAAGTAATCCTATCGGAATTACTTGAGTTCGCAAGCAACCCTAACAATAAATTGGTAAAACATAGTGAGAAAGAACACAAGAACCCCAACAAAATCAACCCAAGATAGTATATTGTATTAGTGAAATCCACATAAAGCAAATATACAATTGATCCTCAATTCGAGAGGAGGATCGTTCTCTCCCAATATCTAGATGAAGAGTCTAGAGTACAAACCACCAAAGAGAACTCCAAGAGAAACAATAATCAGCATAAACCCTAACCATAACCTCTTATGCCTATTTAAAGCTTAATTCACTTGAATTCAAATTTTCTTTCTCTCCTTACTTAGCCGCCTCCCTTAATTAGCCCCATAGGGCCCACAGATTGGGCGGTAATCATATAGGATGGGGTTTGACCTGCCTCCTATAGACTAGGGCCGGCTGGGCCGGTTCAGGAACGGACCCAACAATATCGCTTTCCCGAAGAACCACCTTGTTCTCAAGGTGGAAAGAGTGAAACTGATGTTTTACCCTCTCATAAGGCTCCCATTTCGCCTCATAATCTAGAAGATCCTTCCACTTGATGAATACCTCATTTACTCCCCCTCCCTAGCATACCTTTTGTAACTCAAAGGGTTCTAGTATCACCTCCAAGTCTTCTGTTAAAGTCACTAGTATCATAACTCGTGGCATGCTCCCCAATTGTCCTTCTAGGTTGTGAAACATGAAAAACAGGATATTTGGCTGCTGTGTCTGGCAGTTTTAGTTTATATGCTACCTTTCCAATTATCTTCAAAACTTCAAATAGTCCAAAATACCTTGGGGCAAGCTTCTCATCCTCATGTTGGCGATAGTCTTTTGCTGGTATGGTCAGA